TGGAATATAAGTAGGACTTTAGCCTAAAATGGTTTTTGATTCCATGAATGGTAGTTTTGGCCTCTCACGTTGTCTGTCTGAGAGGGATGGGCAAAAATTAAGGGCAGGAAAAAATTAATCAGTGTGGAAAAATGTTATGCCGATATTTTCTTTGAACAAATCCAAAATCACAACTGCACAGTTTCCTATGCGGCCAAGTTTTCCATCGTAATTGAAGATCCAACAACAAAAAGCTAATACACGTTTCTCAGCATACCAAAGAAAATGACGCCTATCATGGAGCCAGCACAATTCATACACTTTCTACACATCACATAGAAGCATCACACACACACACACAAACATGTATGTTTGCCGAGTTGCTTGAGAAAGTACCGACCAAATCGTTGAATATCTCGCTTGCTTCAGTCCTATTCTGCCGATAGTTAGAATTAGTCAAGCATGTATGCAAAAATGATATCCACCTCTGACGAGTCGGGGTAAACACGTTTCCCCCGACGCCAAAGAAGGAGGCCTTGTCAATTATGCCAGCGTGAATGTGTTAACAGAAACGGCTACAGAATAGCATAAACCTCAGTTGGTCCACGGGTGAGATCGAGAAATGCAATCTCCTTCATCACCCACATTCACACAGAATGAAATTCGCCACTTTAATGTCAGTTAAGCACAGTCACAATTCATTTTGACAATAGAAAAACCGTTTGCGAGTGAGCTGGGTCAGTTCCGATTAGGCCCTACAGATGATGTGGTTGAAATAGTCAACATTATCAATTTCATCACAAAGCACCCAAACCAAGGATGAGAATCCCTCTTCGGGGGATGCAAAGCCCAGGCGAGCTGCATTCTTGACTATAAACAAAATGACATGATGTACATGACCTAGTTATCATGTAGAATGATCAATTATAACTGCATGGAGAACTAATTAATTAGTGGTAAACTCTCACTAATGTTTTAAATGTCCTCATTACCATGTATTTTTTAATGACGGATTTGGATTTAATAAATAGCCATCACCAAACACGCTTAGATCATCTCAGAATTAGTGTTGTTATGCTGTTTTGGGAGTATTTTTATTGCGGATTGTACCATTTTAGTTGCAGCTTTGAGCATAATTCTCCATTTTGAACATTCTTGCCAAGAAAAGATTTATGTACTAGTTTCAGTAAATGAGATTAGTCCTAATATTCTTACATGGTTACCCCATAATTACCCCCACAACTCTCGGACGATGTCGCCTTGACTGAGCAGGGACAGCAAAAATTGTAAATTAATCACCTTTCAACAGACTTCGGCAGCTTTATTTTTCATGATGCCCTCCGAAATGACAGCTGGTCGCGTATTTTCTCGCCGGTTTGGTGCCAAAGGAACATGTGGGAAGTAGAGTGGATGAATTAGAATGATGCAAACACTCTTCGAAGTCGCCTCGTAAGCAAAGCGCCAAATCAAGTCTACGCAAACAAACTCGAACCGCGTCGAATAGGGCTCCGTTTTTCACCCACTTCGGCACTCAGAACCGGTACAAAAGGCCCAAGGACGAGCACACAGGCCTCAAAAGAGGCTCTCATTCGCCCCAACTTCGGGACTCAAGCTCGGAACAAGCATATGAGACTATTCACCCTATTTCGTTCAAGGAATGGTCATAGGATCTGCCCACAATGAATATAGTAGAGCTTACACTTCCAATGCATTCTTAGGCCTTGCTTTCCCAAGACGTGTGTTCATTCAGGGATGTAGCGCAGCTTCGACCTCGCCTAGCTCCTATCAACACTCCCAGTGGGAGTCGAACGAAAGATAAGTCGTGTATTCGATTGTCATGGCAAATATAACTTTGCTTCATCGGAAATCCCACCAAAAGAATACAATATGGGAAAATGCCCGGTCTTCTTTGGGGTCCACATCTGCCCTGTGACTCAAAGGCACTCGGGGCGATGTGGCGTAGTCGGTAACTTGTTGAGAAGACGCGCTGTACTGTCAGGGTTCGACTCCCGCTGGGGGTGTTGATAAGACCTAGACGAGGTCGAAACTGCAGTCCACTGCAGCTTGGATAGGAATGCCTTGTGGGAAGCAAGGCTGTGTGAAATTGCACTCATATCAAGGTGGGAAAATTCAACTTCCAAACCTTCATCATCTTAAAAGATGATAGAGTGAATACATCTCATATAACGAGTTTAATGGTAGTCTCGAAACCCCACTTATAAACGAAATATCAGGGTAGGAATGCCCAGGAATGAGATGCTCAAGCACAGAAAAACACACACACATATCCATACAGATCTTACTGGTAGCTCATATTTTTACCCACTTCAGGACTCAAGCTCTGGGAAAGAAGGGTCAAGAACGAATACTGAGTCATTCGGCCACATAAACCCACACGCAAAGGTCTACAACCGATACGCCCGGGAGAAGACCAAAATGCGGTTTATGTTATTGTGACAGCGAGCGAAGAAGTGGCCATTTCTCTAGACTGAATGGGAATGTAGAATATTAGCCAGAGCTACCCCGTTGGCACTAAAGCAACCGCAGTCTTTGTCCCACTACTTGCTAGTAGTATAAAATGGAGAACTCTTAAATTCGGATTCAGTTTAGCCCCGTCTTGAGTATTTATCAAATATGCGTTGGAGGTTGGATGAGGTCTTCAAGTGAGGCTTGTCCAGGTCAGAAATACATGCTGAAGTAACAGGCGAAGAGCAAATGTGCCATTGAGTGGGACTCGAAGGCACTCTTGTAAACTCCGGGGCGACAGTGGCAACATTTGCGACGATCCTCTCTTAGATTTGCGCCATGAGACCATCGAATTGCCAAATCGTGAAACCATGAAGACTCAAAGAGCCTTCCCGACAGTGTGAATTACAATTGGCATTTGTAGCACTGCGAAATGGTATCAGTACAGGCCTTGATTAGCACCGGAATTAGGTAGTTTTAATTGCTTAGGCTTCATTTCGTGAAGAACTTTCATCATTCCTTCATCGTCGGGCTGAGTATGAGAATCAGTCTTGTCGAGGGGTTTGTAAAAATTAGGCTCTAATAGACATTCGGCGCATGACGTTGTCACATTAAAGAATTGTTGATGACGAGATTTGGGTGAAGTAACAAATGCATGTGGATGTAAGTTTAAAACCCTTTTATGCTTCAATATGAAAGGAAATTTCTTCGCGAAATCACGCCCGAATTGTCACCTTCGTCCGGCTCAACTTTCAGACCGTGGAACTCCAAGAGGGCTTAAGTCTAAAATGGAATCATCATTCGTGAGCCGCCTCATTTGCTTCTGCTCACTGATGCGTGGAATAGCTTCCCGCCTCGTCTACACAACAGAATCCAATTGCGACTGCGGATTTCCGCCGATCGGAGTTCTGCTTTACCCAGCCCTAGCCAACTTTGCACTGAATGCAAGTTGCCGAGTTGTGCATCTGCGAGGCCATCTATTTGCCCAGTCTGGAGGCACCAGAGATGGCCCGCCAAAGAAAAGCGGGAAAAATACAGGAATGCAGAGACAACAATTAGATTAGCAACCTACCTCGGCTGTTTCATCCATGCTTCCGTGAACCCGAGCAAACAAGAACCTACCTGTGATTGGTGCCTCTCTGAGACCAAAACACGGTGTTACCGTGGTGATTCGCTTCTAGAACTGTCAGGTTTTAGCCGAGGCTTGGCTTGTTAGCACTTTACAAATGACCATGTGTTGAGGAACAGATAAGCTTTTACATTTCACCCTTTCTTATCTTGCGCCAACACGTTCACACAAAGACCTACGATTTGCGCCCAAAATGAAAGAAGAGTAAATGTAAGCGCGTCCACCTTTTTGGGTGTGAGTGAAAGGAGAAAAAGATACGGATGAGGATGAGGAGGAGAATGAAGAGGGACGACTACCAAT